GTCTGCTCAAATTAAATTCAGGTTCTTTCAGACGGGTAGTTTTTGATGCTCGTCTTTGTGGTTCGTTCTGACTCCAGGAGGGCTCCACTTCGCTGTCTCTTTCTTTGATTCTCTCTGGTACACTAGCTGGCCTACAATTTGTAAATTATAAGCGGAGCTTCCAGTTTGCATTCAATTGCTTACAGCCCACAACTTCATTGCTTTAAAGAGTGTTTCTTAACTTCTATTTCTTCACACACTGTTTCAATAAAGTCAGTTCTTTTGAGGGCAATTTTGGAGTTATCTGTTCTTACGGACTACTCTTCCTGTGCATGTCTGGTTACTGCCCGGAACTGGAGGTAGTAACCCACTTTTCTCTGCATGACACAAGGCTGGTGTTGTAATCCTTAGTCTTCTGGAATTTTCTTTCCTTGACTGGAATTCCAATTTACAAGTAAGTTTGGAGCAAAGTTGAACAAGGCCTCTGTATTTTTGGCTTCTCTCGACTAAGGTAGATTATCTGCCCTATGAAAAGACTGCTATGGACATCCAGTTTTGGGTTCAACATACTGGGTAATATCTATTTCATAATGCATAATTTAAGTCATAGAGTAACATTGTCCAACGTGGTTGAGAGTTTAGTCTCTGCTAGCTGCCAATAGTAAAACAAGAAACTACTTTTCATTTAAGTAATCTTTTCTGGGAAAATATGACATTGATATACTCCAAAACTAAGGGAGGCTGATTAGAGGCTCTTCCAATAGTTACCAGGATTATAGACTTAATACAAACCAAGTGGCAGGGTGCCTTGTATGGTAACCCAGAGCTTTTATGAACCAAATTAACATTTATCCCATTACCAATAAGTGATATTTTAAAACTTTTATGATACTATTGAACTCTGAACCTTAATTTGCTTACCTAAGGTCTATAGATGACTTTTCCTCATACTTTAGATGAATTCTGTACACCTACCATACTATCACTTGTCCCACAATTCTCTGTGTTATGTTTCTCTAAAACTTAGACTATTAAACATATCTTGGCTTGGTATTTACAAGTTAAAAAATATAATAATAATGGGTTTATTAAAAAATAGGATATAAAAATGGAAAATCTTTTAAAGAGGAAAAGTCGAGACTGGACTTTTTTGACATAATTCAAAAATGTGATTTTTAAATAATATACCTCAGCACTTCTAGCATAATAAGTTCATTTATTTAGTTTTCTATTAATTTCTTGAAACAGTATGACTTTTTTGGATGGTAGTACTCAGTCCAAATGTTCATAAGTAATAATATTAGGAAACATTGAAACTGAGCTAATAATGGTAGGAGAGATTGAACATAGTTGGATAACATAGTAAAAAGTTTCATGTACAATACATAAGAGTAACAGCAATCCAAGGCAAGTTATATCATATTGGATATTGGGAGAAACATAAATTCATCAAACAATTAATAGTAGTTTTAAAAATTGTCATTATTATCAATGATTAATGATATATTTTTTATTTAATGAATTAATCTCAAACCAGAAATACAAATTTTTTTCTCAAAATATATTGATATTTCTGTAGGATACTATAGATATGACATTCTTTATTTCATATAAGCGTGCTTCTTGTGACAAGACTAATATGGAAAGGACAATCTGCCTCTCTAAATAACTAAAAGGCGATGTGTACTAATTTAGAATTTAATAATATATGAAAAGGATTAATCTTTAATATAACAATCATCATGTTTACATAAGCAATTACATTTAATGTGAGATGGCAAATGTTTAAAGAGACATCAAGTTTCCAAATGTTCATTATATGTCTATTAGCTCTAATACTTTAGAGAATTGGAGAATATTAAATAGAAAACAACTGCCTGAATGGTGCTACTTTTAATTATCACGGTTTAATAACATTCAAGGCATACATTTTTGCCATAATGATTTGAGATTTTCTAAAAGTTAAACATATGGTCTATAGAGACCAAAAACAGTTCAAGTCCTATTAAAATAGCACTTCAATCATCTCACATATGTTTATTGACTGCCTAATACGTGCCTACTGCACACGAAGGCCTTTTCTAGATGTGGTATAAACAAAGCAAACAAAACCCCTGCTCTCATCTTGTTTCATAACGTGTATGTGTTAAATGGGGTTATTCAGATAATAAACAATTGCACAATAATTTATATAGTGTGTGAGATGCCAGTAAAATTGTGAAAATGAGTATCAGCAATGGTGGATAAACATATTGAGAATTTTATTACTACTGAATTCTAGTATAGAAGAATGAAGGTTAAATCTTTTCTAATTCACCAACGGTAGTTGTAAATTATTGTAAAATAGCTGTGCAGTACCTACCAAATACCATAGGGACAAGAACATTTTGCTGATGGATATTACTGAAAAGCTAGGTGCTTTTCCATTTACTAATAGGACTATGTAATGTATTCAATGCAAACAAACAAGCAAAAACATGCTGATAAGCTCTGTTTAAGACTTAAGTCTTCTAGGAACATGAGAAAAGTTACAATGACTGAAGACTACACTCACTTCACTCACTTTAAGAGAAAACAGATATTTGATGAGGTCCTGCTTTTGTTCGTTACCCATCCATACAGGAAAAGCTAAATGGTAAATATATGGACATGTAACATTAGAAATTACCCCTTATGAGTTCTCAAGGTTGTAACATTGGTTTGTACATTGTCATCTTACTTTAGCATTGCAATGATTTTTATGATGACAATATATTGCTCTTAAAATTTTGTCTCTTTAAAAATTGACACATGGTATTATATATCATTAGTATATATATATGATATATATATGATATTACATATAAAGTCATCAGATATGATTAAACACATTGTTTCATCCTGCAAAATCATAGTGATTGTAAAATCCGGTCAAATTCACTTATGTTTTAAAAGAAAACAACCCTGTGAAGAACGTTTGACTGAGATCTGAAAGGTGATAAGGTTCTAAATTACATTTTTTTTAAAGTGCTTCAACTTTACATAGATATAATTAAACAGAAGATGGATTGACTCCTGAAAACTATGTTGCTTTGCTATACATGATGACATTTCTTTAGAATTATATTCCATTGCCCAATATTTTCATTTAATTTGGTTTTTTATTTAGATCCTCTTTCTCTCACCTAGATCTTCTTCTGCTTCATGATTTTCTTATCTATTCATGGTAATGTTTAAGACCTGTTGTGTCTGTCTCTGTTTATGATCCATATTTATTAGTTGCCATTTCAAGTATGGTTCCCTAACATATCCTGTTTTATAATTATACTTTCAATGCAATTGTCTGACATTACAGGCCATAAGCTTACATTGTTGCAGTCGCCTCCTAACTGATACCTTGTCCTTTTATTTCCCTTTTCTTCAGTCAAATCTTCATTCCATTAAAAAATAGTACACTTTAAAAGTGTAATTTTCACTGTCATTTCCTTTAAAAAAATATATTGAGTCCCTATTTTCTGGATTAAGTCCAAACTCTTTAAATTGGTTTCATTCTTCAACTCCCTCCTTCCAAAATCTGATCATAACCTACTTATTTTATTTTTCTTTTCTTTTTTGTTGTTGTTTGTTTAATTAATTTATTTATTTATTTAGGTAAATAAACATCTTTTTAAATTAGTTTCAGGTGTACAACACCATACAATAGTTATATTTTTTACCCCTCAAAGTGACAACCCCCCTCCCCCAACCTGCTGCCCCACTCCCCCCCATATCATACATATTTATTACAATTCCCTTGACTCCACTCCCACACTATACTCCACGTCCCGTGACTATATATATATATTCACTTACAGTTGACATACAATATTATACAACATCAGCTTCAGATGTACAGAGCAGTGATCAAGCCTCTACCCCATGGGGTGGGGATGAGGGAGAAGGGGAAGGGGTTAGACGGCATAAATAGGTAACTACAATATTGCCACAGGGACATGAAAGACAGTTTGGGGAATATAATTAATAATGCTGTAAATATTTTGTAGGGTGTCAGATGGTCACATGTCTTGTTAGAGAGACCACTTCATAACCTACTTTTATTGCCTTATGTATATCACTTTCTTTACATAAATATTTACTTCTTCCTGTAAGTTTTGCTCCAGGTCTATCCCACATCTTATTCCCATTCTTTACTTCACACCTTTTCTCTTTTCATGCCCTTCATTACCATCATGACATTATCGCCATAACTTGACAGGAAAAAAAATAAATAACCACATATATATATATATATATATATATATATATATATATATATATATATATATATATATATATATATATATATATATNTTTTTTTTGCTATCACTTCACTTCCTTCTCCTGCCTATTAAAAAATCTACTTTGTAATGTTAGAGCTTCTTCATATAGAGCCATTACCTCATCACTTTATTCTAGTTTTTCTCAGTTTTTACACATTATTGATGAGATCATTATTTGCAAGTCACTTTCCTCAGACTGTGCATAAAATAATGCTGAGTCCCTGTATGTTAGCTTTTACTCTACCTTTCCCCCATCAACAAAGAAGTATCTACCTCACAAAATATTATAACATTGCATCTGCTTTTTTTTCAAAGAACCCCAAATGTCAGTATTCTAACAGTTACACTGTTAAAAAAAAGAGAGGTTCAATATTTGCTTGGTTAATAATATAACAATGTGGAAAGAAAAGGGCTTTCCTTTGAGTTACTTTTGATATTCCATTCTGATACTCATTCCTTCAACACAAGAAAGAATTCTGAAGACATCAACACCTCAAAAAGAATCAATTCCTCACTTTAAGCGTTGAATATGAACGAATGTATCAACTTAGATTGTTTATAAAAAACAACAACCTAATTGTTTTTTTCTTGATTTGCTCTAATTTCATTTGCTCTCTACCCCCTCTCATCACTTTCAGAATAATGCAGAATACCAGACCAGGTTTGAAGCAATGGGAGAGAAAAACAAAACATCGGCATGCACATTAAAACATTGACTAGTTCTCAAAGGTTAAAATGTAAGAAGTTTATTCTCCTTTTATCAAGCAATGTCTACAGACAAAGCATCCACATGGTGTAAGCTACCAAAGAAAGATGTATGAGACGGACTTACATTCAACCAGGTCACAGACACTTTATATGGTTCGTGTTAACAAGGGAGTAAATTGCTAAAAGGAAAGCAGATAAGTGGAAACATAAGCTGATTGTTGTTGTTTATTAAATCTACCTCCCATAATGTTTCCTTAAGCTAAGAAGAGATCTAGTGTATCACACAGTTCAGAATGCTATATACACGTAAGATATTACACACTATAAAATTTCAGGTTTCTAAGCAGTTTTACACAATTTAAGCTTGAGTAAAATTTGAGTTTAAAAAAGACCTTATTGGATTACCTTCAGTACATGGAGGTCATTTCAACAGCCCATTAGCATTTTTTAGCAGTAACAAAGCTAAAATAACTAAAAAGGTTCTCAAAACATGTAAGCTATTACTTTAAGCCTGGGTAATTATCTGCTTATTTCAATAAACCAAGTCTCTAGATTTAATCCGCTTCTACTGGCCTTTTCTTTGCCCTCAAAAAAAAAAAAAGCAATAATTTTTACTTGTATGTTGTGTCTCAAATAAGAGGATTAGTTAGGTTTCAAACTACAGCCCACAGTTAGTGAGTGGGCTATTTAAGGATTATGTAGGAGTTCAACAGAAGTCATTTAGGAAAGTTATTAAGGAATAAAGTCCTGTAATGGGTTACACATTTAAATAGCAAAAGCAATGGTAAAACACATCTTTACTCACCACTGTGGAGCTATGCCTCTAATTCCCAATTTCTCTACCCTAATTCTCCTAAAACACTAATACTCACCAATTCTCTAGCCAGTTTTGTTCTCCCTGGTGTTAATTTCCTTGTATACAGTTTACTCTAAGCAGACACAAATAATGCTTCTTTTTTAGAAATGAGAGTTCTTGCTGATGCAACACTGGACTACATGAAAGGAAAACAATTTATTCTGTTAATAATAAACATATGTAAGCAGTTGACATCCCGGACAAACTTGCATTAGAAATATAATGCACTCATTAGTGATTGAAAGCAAAATGCATACAGAAAACATTGCAAACATTTTACCATAATTAGTTTTCCTCCCTTTCTTCCCATTTTCCATAGCATGCTGCAGATTATACAGTGAGTGTCAAAGAGAGTTTGTCACCTGTATACAACCTAAGACCAATTTATGCCTTCAAATGATATTTTGTTGAGGGTTAAAAAATGACTCAAGGCAGGATTTAGTGCAAGAGATGTTAAACTTTGTCTTTTAAATGACAAGAGATTTATAGCTATGAGGGTGTTCAGTATGCAGCTTTTAGCCTTCCTTTTCCTCTTGTGACATTCCCTTCAAGGCACAAAAGATTATAAACAGTGGATGGGACAAGACATTTTGAATTAAGAATGTTAAGGTTCCACAATACCTTTGATTTCTGGTTTAAGCATACCAAAAAAAAGGGTAAAGAAAAAAAATATAGATAAACCACCCTCAAAATAAAATGGTGCTTAAAGTCATCTGAAATTCCCTGCAGTTGAGTTATTTTTAAGTATTTAAATTCTTATTTTGTTGGCTTAAAACATAATTTTAGATTTGATTCTTGTGATTAATGTAGTTTCTTATTAAATATTGTGGTAAAATATTCTAGTCAACCAATGTTACTAACTGTATATTTCTTGGCCCCCCAAAAAATCTATTTTATTTGGGCCAACCAAGTAACTTATGTTTGACTAGGATATAAACTTACAAAGTTAAGCTGTAAATTTAAACAATGAATTAAGTGCAATGTACTGGAAAACTCTTCATTCGATCATGATCTAAATGGGCTCCTAAGCATCTCCAACCCAAATGACTGTATTTCCTTTCTCAACTTCAGTGATCTCACAGTTTAACTTATTGAGTCGTCCATCTAGTATAAAGAGAGAGTCCTTGGAAGGTGTCATCAGATATTGACCAAACAAGCCACTGTCCTGGATTTGCCTGTTCTTCCGGTTCCAAGGCCATTCTTCTACCTTGAGGGGTTCCTTAAGGCTCTTGATCATCTTCACCTTCCCAGAGGAGAGCTCCACAAAGAGCACATCAGTTTGTGTGCTTGAGCTGCCATAGATGTTGTATTGGTGGGCTTCAGTAAAGGATGGCTGAAACGCCAGGTCAGATATGTGCAGATTTGTGTGAATATCGAAAGCCTCCTGTATTTCTCCTCTGATGGTGATGTACTGGACCCTTACAAGCCCTTTCATGTCATTAATGCTGACAAGATAGTGCCCATCTGGAGAGACGTATGGAGTGCCCGTCACATCACTATTGAATCCAATGACGGAGTCGGTTACGCCGTCCACCATGAGCTGGGGTGGAATGGCTCCAGTGCTGTCAGGCTTGCAGCCGACAAAGTAGTATCCTCCCAAGTGAGTATACGCCAAGGATTGAGGGACGCACTTATAGTCCTTCAAGTTAATTGTCTTGATGTATGACATGGTCTCAAGATCAATTTTTTGTAGCGCAGCTTCATCTTTATGAAGAATAAATCCAAACCTGAAAAGATAAAAAACAAAGACAGGAAACTGTAGAGTGGTTACCATCCAAAAAAAAAAAAAAGTACTGTGGACAGTTGGAAAGAACATCAGAAGTCCAGGTATTAACGGTCAGGCTATGCAGTAATTTGTGTCATAGTCATGTTAGGGATACTTTCAATTGTGCTGCCCTCTTCTTTTCTGTAGGTTTTTCTTTCATTACAACCAAACAATCATAATTCATGCTGTAGAAAGCAAAATATTTAAAAGTAATATATCTAGCTAATTAGAATGACAAATTTGACTTTTACCACAGAGATTATAAAAGTAAACATCACTTTGTATGTTTCTAAACCTTGTGTTATTGAACAAGCTTGGTTAACTGCTATGAAAGCCAGCAAGAAAAAAAAGGCTTGAATATGTATCTATTTTATTCACTTCATTTACTTTTTATATTGTCTTATGATCATCAAATACATCTGACACATAACTACTTAAATAATTAAATCTATCTTTCTCATTTTAATCTGCCTGACAGCACTACATTAATAGATGCAGATTTATCTTCGTGTGTGTCTGTGTGTGTATGTGTGTGTGTGTGTGTGTGTGTGTGTGTAGAACTATTAGACTTCTATATGTTACATTTTAGAATCACCTTGATTTAACTGCCTCTATGATTTTGACATTTACTTTATTATAATTTTAAGTACTAGTTACATTTTTCAACCTTGTCATACTTATATTGTTATTGTTTTTAATGATATACCTGCATTGTATTGGTTATCTTATATTGAACAATGATGAACTTTGGAGAATTATGGTATTTTTCTATTGAAGTCAATTTAAAAATAAATATTTTTCAACCTGTTTCGGAGGCCTTTTTAATTTCTTCAGTGCTTTTCAAGCATTTGTCCTTAATACTAGCTGCAACTTATCAGAAGTCCTTATGGCAAGGGTAAATATATTTTGAAACCCTGACCCGTAATATTGGTGGCTTTCTAGCAAAATAAGAGGTTAAATAAGATAAATGAGATAGAAACTACTGTAAGATTATATCCAAAATGGATATCATACAGTGAAGATGTGAAGGACTTTTATTTTTACTTTTGTTAATAATATTGATTAAAGCACCTCCTAACATTTCCAAAAGCTACATAAAAATAAAGATCAGGAATATTGTTATTGATTGTGCTCTTAAATGGAAAAAGGGTGCCTTTATTGTATTAAAACAAAGCCAAACAAAACAAACAAGACCTCTAAAGATAGTCAATTATGTTATTGTCACCTGTACAACTTATTTTTAGCATGCTAATTCCATGATTAAAAAAATGTCCATTTCTACACAAAATACAGAAATATGGTACATTAAGGGTAATAGCTCCTTAAAATTTCAAATTATAGGCATAGGGCAAGTTCAAAAATATAAATAAACATATCCTTAGTATCAGAAAAAATAAATGAATGTTCTCAAAAATCAGTCTCGTGTTCTAATCATGTAAAGCAGGGAGCGCATCAGCACCGATATTTTACTAAAATAGACATATAATTATAATTGCTTCTATGTTCTTACCTTACACAGAGTTGGGGAACCATATTATAATTTCAGCTGTATATGAACATTTATGAAGAGACTATTTATTGTCACTGGAGAGTACAAATTCTTCTACACAAAAGAACTATAGGATATAGCTACTCCTTTAAAGAGCTTTCTTAAATATTTATTGAGCAAATGCTAAACACAAAGCATTGGGAATAAACTGGAGATCAACAATAAATCCCTTGCTTTCAATGAGTCTAGAAATTTTGAGTGATAAAAAAAAATTGAAGGGCCGGCCGAGTGGCGCGATGGTTAAGAACTCGCTTGGGATGCCAGAGAGCCCCGGTTCGGATCCCGCATATGAGGGCCAGTGAACACTGCCCTCCACAGCTAAGATGCTGAACAACAGCTCAACCTGGAGCTGGGCTGCCGTGAGTCGCTGGCGACG